ATGCGTTTTGTTGAAGTATTGAAATCCCGTTCCTAAGAGACGAGTAAGCTGCATTCTACCACGAGGTCTCTTTCAAATGTGCCATAAATTGGCCATCTACGTTAATGCAATCATACAACATTGCCTCATATGACTTGACATCGAATTGCACTCGGACGGCATGTCTACGAGCGATACAATTATATAAATATTGCAGAATGTTGCGAGATATCGTTCAAGACTAGATGTGGCGATTGCAGCCTCGTACATGAGTGACGAATCGTCAAAGGAGCCAAAAACGCAAATATATTCACTTTGCAAGTAAATAATTCGATGGATACAGCTCGTAGAAACCTGTATAAAGCGTCATATTGTAGAGAAAACGCTTGTGAACACGCGAACTGAGTCTCGGGCTGATCGGGTTACAGTAGCCCATGTTGTGCCTTTGAAAATGGCTGTCGCAAATATAATATCCAAGTTCACCAACTTTGCTATATTTGCTGCTTCCATATACTGTATAAATCATACGCGTAATACAGAATTCGTAAGGTGAAACAGTAGGTTTTAGTAGGCTCGCTGAGCTGCCTTACGAATCCATAAATCGATCTGAAATAGTTCAAATTTTATTGAATGAAGCTTCATCTTTGTATGGAATAATTTAAATTCCTTTAAACGCATACCAGTATGTTTGATGAATTCGTAAGGCAGGCTGCCTTACCAAATTTCTGTCCAATTATATGATAGAAAGTGAAAATAACTGGCCAATAGGATCGTTCTATTCTCTTTCTGCAGCTATTGGACTGTGCGCTACAGTACTAGAATGCGATCCCTTGCTCCTATCCGCACGATTGAGCCTGGGCGATGGTCATGCAGTACGACTTGGTCCTCGTTTGACGCAGCATAGGCAGTGGTTGTTCTTGGCGTAGTGGGCGCTCTGGTGGAAGTGCTGGGCTCGGGTGCCGTCGGACATGCCCCCGACCTTGGTCGTCTTGCTAGTTTTGCATCTTGGCATAAACCAAGTAATCACATGGGCCAAGCTCGTCAACTACTGGTACTGTAAATAGGTTGTTTACAGCAATTTACTCGTTGATCCCGAAACCCCAAAACGTCGCGGGCAAACGACTTGATTTGGTCAAACTTTTTGGTGACTATGCCCCGATAATATAATTCTTACTGACGGTAGTTTTTAGCCATCACTTCCTCATTTTGACTTGGAAGGACCTTGGGTGTTGGCCCCAGTCCACCGAAACCATGAAGTAGTAGTGATCCTGCTGGTCCATCCTAACAAGAAATTCGCATCGACCATTCGTCATTCGATGTCGACTTCAATAAGCACTAAGGAAACATGCTAGTGAGTGTACTCGAGGGTGCGATGAACTGCTGACATGAGCATTAAGCTGATGGTGCCACGAGTTGTTTGAGTCGCTGGGAACTTGGTACTTTGACGATAAAAATGATCGTCTTGACCAATTATATGGCAAAGAAACCATGATGCACTCTGATTGGTTAATAATCAGAAGTTACGAATTCCACAAACAAGTCACATAAGTAACGTTAACATCGTTTTGATGTGTTGTTAGTAATATCGGTTTTCTTGTATCCAAGAAATGTGCGCTTCCATAGGGCAAGGTTGAGGACCACATCACCAGCGAAGGTCGACCAAGTAAAGCTAGAAATGATCCAATCATGTAACCTTGCGACAATGGCCAGCAGCTCCATCGAGTTCGTTGTACTAATAGGATCATTTCCTCGCCTTCCCGGGTATATATTTCCTATGAATTTCAACTTTTATACTACACACTACTTCTGGTATCATAATCACTGAAAATGATACTTAAGTGACCAATAAGATTGAAAGAGGGGATGATGGGCATAGCCGAGTAGCGGTGGCGGCGGACTGTATCGTGCTGCGTCTGTGGTAGAGTATCGAAGTGGGTGGTGGCGGACGGTAGCGGCTGTGGGTGTCGAAGTGCACTGTAAGGTAGTGGTGGCGGACAGTCGTGCGCAGCCGCACCCATTCCCCCCCCGAGGCACATCGAACTGGATCATCCCCCTTGTCCCATTCCCCCCCCCCGAGGCACATCGAACTGGATCATCCCCCTTGTCGTCCCCCAAGTTTACACCGAGTCAGTGCAGTCCTCGATTACATCTACATACTTACTAGTACTTACTAGTATACTGTACGGGGGGAAATTGCTCGCCCGCTGGGGGGCTCAAACTGGTTTACAACTCAGTCGTAGATACGTTCCGATTGGGTGATGGTTTGACGCTTCCATTTGAATTGGGTAAATATTTATTTATTATTGATTCATTGCTCTATCGGAACAAGTATAAATAGAATAAATATTGCAATCGAAATTAAGGGCTTTTTATGCTGCTCCTGTAGTTTGCAAACACACGTGACCTTCGTCGCCAACATACTAGGAAGTGGCCGGAATGGGTGGATGATAGTTTCACAGTATTTACTAAAGAGTACTAGTAGTAATACTATTCGACCCATTACACGAGGAAGGGGCTACTAAGGACTGCAAACCCAGCCGCGACGCCGCCTTCGTTGGTCGTGGACAGCTATCAATATATATATATCAGATTTGTTTCGAAATAATAAAAGATACTATTGTATATACCTTGGTGCGCAGCAAATGGCCGGCATGTTCGTTCAGAATCGCCTTGCCATTGTCGAACAAGGCCACGCTAAACATGCCCAGTTCACTGATGGTATCGCCGCTCACAGGGGCGCCATTGCGCACCAGCACCTACACAATCCAAAACCACTAAATATATATAATATATTTATACATATATATCATACCGCTGGCTGTTCCTGGGGAAGAATACGCTCCATCAAGATAAACGATTCCAACTCTGCCGGGGTCAACGTCGCCAACGCCTCGACCACTTCCTCCCTGAGATAATAAATATATCCATGGTTCATTTCTTGAAATATATATATATATTTGCTCGTACCCGTACAAGTTGTTTCCCCCGCCTTCGCGTTGAGGTTTCAATACATACCCCGTCGGATTGGCCGCAACCAGCGCTTTGATTCTAATACCGTATGTATATATCTCATAACGGACAAATATTTTACCGCGGCAGGTCGGGCGACGCTTGTTCGAGTCCGAAGAGACCCGTAAACGACTTTTCAACCAAGACACTTTGATCTTCAGTCAAAAACCGGCGCAATTCCGACGGCGTCGCCAGCACTTGCTGCACTTTCTTGGTCCCAGCCAAGTGGTACGCAATGTTAGGGCACTTGATGGCCAAGGACCGTTCGACAAGGGTGCGCCCAATCCACTCGGTTTCACTATGTCGCTTAGAAGATAGCGATTCAGTAACGAAGTCATACCTGGGGTAGTCGGTTGGAGTATACCCGGCACGGAAGTACGCGACGGCCACCTCGACACCATCGACCCACAGCTCACGAGTTGCGCCCCGCACTTCTGCGGTGGCCAACTACATTCGTCAAAAGTCAATACAAACGCCAAGTCGTGGGACTTAGTGATTTCTGTACTTGGTGGAGCGACCGACGAAAGACCTTCACCTTGTGCGCCGTCCATAGCGTGTACTCGAGCCACCGCTGGTCCACCGAGTTGGACTCGTTCGGCTGCACCACAAACACAATCACAGCCCTGTCATATATATATATATATATATATTATTATATATAGATTGATTATTGTGTATAGTATATGGATTATTATTATGCTTTATTCGAAACGGGGCCGATATGGAGAATAAATACACAAGCATCCACAGAGAGCCAATCAGAGGGCGGGAAATCAAATTAGTGTACGACTTGAATTAGTGTGATTCGAATCCCCACACTATACAGGTTTACAGTTTTGGATTCTTCAAAACTGGAGCGATATTTAAATGTAAAGACGAAGCGGCAGAAAAATTGAGCCAATCGGATTCCAGGAAACCATCAGTTCAACAAAGAACGAATTAGTGTGTGACTTCAATTAGTGTGACCGGGGGACACGTCTTTACATGCATAATTTCGAACAAAGAATCGATCGATGGATATGGGAAATCAGCACAAAAGCCCAAAATCGTTTTGGAGTCGTCGAGATGAGAGGACATGGGAAGACGCACGATGGACGGCCGTAATGGGAATGGGCGCGGGCCAAAGCGGCGGGTAGCGCGTGGAGGGCGGGGTTTCGAGGCAAATGGGTCGCCAGGTCCCCCACGTTGCCGTAGTATGCGGACGGGATTTGAGCTTCGTAACGTTCGAGGAGAAATCTACAAACATTCATTCGTGAGAATGTGGAATCAGCGAGCGAGAAAGTACCGATGGAGGTCGGACGCGAGCGAGCTCATGCATGCAAAGGACGCGGCGATCGTGTTGAGCTCGACTTGGAGGATCTGCGGGGATGTTGCATTCGACGGGTCGTCGTGGAGCATGTAGTCGGACCGGTGGATCCCCAGCGCGGCAGTTTGAACGACACTACCACAACACTCGTGACGATGTGCAGACAGAGATGGCTTTGTACCCTTCCTTCTGCACGGCCTTGGACAGCTCGACGAGACGGCGAGTAAAGGCGTCTTCCGCCAAGACATTCTGAAGCTGCTCGTGTAGCCAGTCCGGGTCGGCGGCCACACGATCGACGAGCAACGCAAAAATAGGGGACAGGACGATTCCCTGCGAGTCCACAAGAACTTGAGATAGTGAACCAAGACGATGAAGATAGAGAAGACGTACCAGTTCAAATTGTTGGCGCGGAAAGGGCACGGGGAGGAGGCAGTACGGCAGGTGCGCATAGCGCTGCTCTGGGGCTTGCACCAGCATGCCATGTCCAGCGGCATACGCCGTCGCTTCGGAGAGGAAGTGGCTGACTTGGGAAGCAGTTAGACCCAGCTTGTCCGCATGCACAGAGGTCGGCGCGGGAGGCGGCGAGGACGAGGACGCGATGGACGCTAACAGATCGGCCATGGGCGGTGAATAATTCCAAAATGACCACCTTCGGTGAATTCCAGTTGAACGAACGCTTTGGATTGGTCGAAATGCACCAATCAAAACATTTTGTTTAGATTTGCTGGCATCGAATTTATAAGTTTTTGAAATTCCATTGTGCAGCGAAACGAACATGATGAAGAAAGTGGCGGTGGTGGCGGTCACTGTCGTTGTGACAGCATCGCTGGGTATGTGGAGGCTGTCGTCCACGGGTGACTTGAAGCATGTGATGCATTGGGTTCAGGTATGTCCTCCATCCTTCCTGCATGACGTGTGTTCATGAATGCATGTAGAACCATCCTGTCGTTGGCGGGGGTGCTTACGTTGTTGTCTTCGCCATGGCTGTGGTTGCATGGTACTTCCTCCACAGATTTGCCTATTCCACTCGTGACATCCATCATAGTCTACCTGCGAGCGTGTTTGAGCTGGCGGCAGGATACATCTTTGGGTTTGGGTGGGGTTGGGTGATAGCAGCCTCAGGCAAGACCCTCGGATCAGTAATCTCCTTTGCATTAGGTACTGTACTCCTCTCCACCATATAGCGACATACTCGTTCCCATCCGACGTGAGTAGGTCGGTACTACTTGCAAGGGTGGGTTCATAAGATGCTGCGTCGCGGACCTCCTCTCTTCCGCGCGCTGGTTCGTCCTACATTTCCCATTTCCAATGTCAAATTCCTCACTCGGCATATCGTCAGGCCCAATTAACCTCTCGAAATGAACTCAAGTGGAAGATTGTCATCTTGACCAGAATAGCATGGATGCCCATTGGCATCAAGAACTACGGACTCAGTATCCTACCAGTACACTTATACTCCCTACATATTCCCTACATCAAGCGGTTGCTTGTAGGTGTCGTTTGCATTGTTCTTCTGGCCCATGCTCTTAGTTGGATCCATCTTCTCGGCCATCTCGGCCTATCTCGGTCACACTGCTACCCACGTATGCACATACATCTCATCCTCCCGAACGATTCGTGACGGTGAAGTTGCTAGGTGAAATCCATACTAACCGGCGACGGGGAAGTCGAAGGAGGCGGCGGCACCCCGACGTCCGTCCTCCATGTGAGTATGATGGTCGTGGGTGCAGGCAGCGCCTTCACTCTCATCGGCATACTGGGGTATCACACGCGGCGTCATTTGGAAGAGATGACCAAGGACGAAGGGAGCGACGGCGGTGACGTTGACGCCGCCGAAGATCAACCTCTCAAGCCAGCTGCTCCATCGCCGCCTATTTCTCCAGAAACCGAAGATCGTACCAGCGATACGCTGGTGTGATTGGCTAAATATTGTAATTATTTATCCTTTTGAAGCCATCGGATTGGCTTATAATCGATCGTGAATAGTTAGCATTGGTTGGCTAAAATCATTTGGATTTCCAGTATTCCGACTATTTGATTGGTCGATTTGGACTACCGTTTAGTTTTTGCATTCACACATCAACAACGATGGACATATCTGGGCAGGTGCAGCATCTCCATGAGATGATCAACCTCGGGCATGGGGTGCTCTTGGAAGCGCAGAACCTGAACCTCAAGCAGCCCCTGCAGTCGAATGCGAGTCTGTTCACCTTCTCGGACATGGATGTGACCCCGAGCTCGCCGTCGGGTGGCGACGTGTCGATGCTCGACGAGAAGGACGACGACGCGGCGGGGTTGGTGACGTTGACGGGGGATGAAATTCAGGACTCGTTCACGAAACTGGCGGCACTCAAGTCTGCGTACATTCGACACAGCTCCGAGCTTCTCGAGAGTCTCCAGCAGAAAAAGGAAGACATCGCGAGTGAGGCGCTCCTCGCGCGGCGAGATGGGCTGCGCAAGGTTCGTGGTTCTCCTTCTCCCATCACTTCCTTCATCTCACATGCATGCATGTAGGACGTGAGCGATCGGAACGTCGTTCTCAAAGGTCTCATCGATCGGCTTCGAAACCTCCAAGTTGCGCTGCGCATCCTTCACGGCCGCGACTCGGTCGATCCCGCCGCTTCGTCCGTGGCCATGGAGGAAATTTAACATGCGCAGTTAATATTAATAGTTCAAAATATCACAAAAAGTATCTTGAAAACGTCGAACGTATATGATGGTATTTCTCGGCCGTTTTGACTTCACTCGCCAAACATGGACCTCAACCACAAGTTGAATCGGGAGCGGTCGTCGTCAGCCAAGTGGGCCAGCGATGTGCATCTCGCTGTGGAGTACCTAAAGCGACAGCATGAAGTCATCGAGTGGCTGCAACATGCCATGGATCGACCGATGCCAACACATGATCTGCAGGAATTGCTCAAGTCTGGCGTGGTCCTGCGAGAGTTGGTGCGTTGTTCCCATGATTATATACCCAGGACGAGTGATGGCAGTATGCGTGTAGATGGCGATCTTGGCGCCGACCTCCGCGACACCTAAACCCATCGCACGTACGTACAGCGCCACTATGGCGCCGTGGAAAGAGCGGGAGAACATCAGCGTGTTCCTCACCGATTGCCGGCGGTACTGTACACCGTGCACAAGATCCGAGCTTACGGCGATGTAGGTTGGGAATGAGTGAATGCTCGCTCTTCGGTACCGATGACCTGTACGAAGGCACGAACATGGTGCAGGTGATGTTTGGCATGCAGTACATCAAGGCATGGTTCACAGGCGGAGTAAGATCGCCGCGATCTCCCAAGAACTCGTCCGACGGGGTGTGGTCGTTTTCAGAATCTCAGGTTCTGGACCTATTAGTATTACTAGTAGTAGTACTAACATATGCAATCCAGGTCCAAGATGTGGTCGCGCAGTTCCAAAAGCACAAGTCCCAAGGCAACCTGCTGCAAGGTACAGTACTCGTCGGAAGGTTTCTTCATGCACGAACAACGAAGATCATGAAAGCATGTGCATGTAGGGTACCTGACGCGACATGAAAGCAACAGCGACGTGAGCACTCTGCGTGAACCTGAACCTGCGAGCGAAGTCACCACCAAGGAACCAGCGGTGTTCGGCGACGTCCGCATCCAAAGCGTGGGATTGCCTGCATCTCCGTCCACATCAGATCTACATGCAGTGTCGGACAACACCATTGCTGTGAACCACACGCACCACGAGCAAGTTGAAGCACCAGCTTCATCTTCCCCAACTACCCGGGATGACGACGAAGCGATGGGAACCCCCACGGAACAGTACGTCCTTGCCACGACACCCATCTTAACAGACCCTCCGAGTGACCAAGTCTCATCTCACACTGCGATCCTTCCCTCGGTATGTCCAGAGGCTATCATTTCATGTATGGGTATGGTATTCTGTATTCACTATATATGTAGGTTCAGCTCAATGCTATCTCGGACGATGCGGCTGTTCCTCAGATCGACCCCAGCATGCACCGGGTGCGGTATGGATGTTGCTGTCGGGTCATGTAGGCTGGTTAGTTGCAGATGAGACTGTCGCCTTGGACTATATATAATTTACATATATATACATATTAATCATTTTAATATATATATATATATATATATATATAAGCCACGTACTTTCAAATACGGCTTGATCGTTTTGCTTGAACGACAGCATGAGGCTCTTGAACTCGTCGAAATCCGCACAACTCATGAGGATATCCACCACATCCCCCGCGATTTCATCTATTTCCCACACGTTTCAACTCGATATTTGTAGCCAGAACTTGGATTTATTGGATATATATATTTTTTTCTCCAATAAATGTATATATATATTAATATACCTTCGTGGTCTTGAATCATTTGACACAGTTCGTCCATGGTAAAGTCTTCGATTTCAGCCTGCAAACGCGCTTCGAGGTAGTTTTCTATGCCATTTTTATTTTAAAAAATAGAACCATTAAAGCTAAACAAGAGCAGATTCAGCCGACTGCACTTTTAAAATAAGCAGTGAGAAAATGACCCATAATATCATCGATTCATATAGAATATATATATAATATATATAGATAATAGATTTTATGTAAACAATCAAAACCATAGTCATAGCAACAACTACATGGACGTTTATGTACCGATCAGAAGCGTGTACTCCTTGAACAGGTCCATATAGATGAGCTTGTTTTCGCTGGCGTCGTCGAAGTACTCTGCCATTTCACCTGTGATTGAATCGTATGAGGAGAAAGAGGCATGTACCGCAATGCTTTTGACAAAAGTCCGTCTGCATCTGGACAAAGTCAGGATCGATCAGCACGTTTTGCAGCACCCCCATGGCTTCGTCCAGCTTGTTCTCTTCGGTACTGCCGCCGCGGTCGTCTGTGCTGATGATCTCTTCGGATTCCAGGTCGTCGTCGCCGAAGAGAGCAACCTCAGGCTGATTATCTACATCACAAGCAGTCCCCTCATTAGCTACCTTTTCATCCTTCCTCAAGCTAGGATGCGATGCGTCGGCGCACCAGAGGTATCGGACATGGCGCCGCGACTGTTGACTGTGGTTGGTGACGTTTCGATTTTCCGTGGATCTTTCCACTAAAGTACGCTTCCGTGCCGTTAGGTATTCGACTCTTCTCACGTTAAACTAATTAAAACGTGGTCGACCTTCAACGTCCACATATGGTGAGATATTGCGTTTATAATTTTAAGGTTAAAAGACATTGGGACGGTGAGAAATGCTGGCTATTCCGACTAAAACGTGTATGCGTTTAATCATACTGTGCCCTGATTGGTTGGCGAGGTTATTACTCATTCGGCTTGCTGGGGCGGGGCCATCTCTTCATGCGGCAGAATGGGTTCCAAGTGCCGTTCGACCTGTTCCAGGTGACGGCATGGATCTTCTTCCCGATCCTTGTAGGGGGGTTCTATGCGTTCTGCGTACCCTTCCTCCCCCGCACCGCGGCTGTCGCGACGGGCATTGTACGTTCTCCCTAATGCCCGAATCTTGCGTTTGAATCATTTTCGCGGTTTATAGGTCTACGGCATCAACGGGGCCGTGATCGTTGGTCTGGCGGCAATCACGACGTCGATCAATCCCGCAGACCGCAACGTGATGCACCAAGGAGACACGGCGCAAGTCACCCCCGACCACCTCTACTGCAACGTGTGCACGACCTACGTGGACAAGAAGTCACGGCATTGCCGCATCTGCGAGAAATGTGTGGCGACGTTCGACCACCACTGCAAATGGCTCAACAACTGCATCGGCGAACACAACTACCGCTACTTCTTCAGTCTTATCGTCGCCATATTCACCTTCACGACCCTGCAACTCGTGCTCGCGTTGTACCTGTTCGTCCAATGCTTCACATCCCCGTCCACCATTCGACTCTACGGTCCCCTCATGTCATCCTATCTCTCCATGAAGCTCATGTTGACCCTTCTAGCCGCTTCCACGTATGGATGCTCTGGGAACAATACGACTGTCAAGAACGATGGACTGTGCGTCAGGTATCCATATCGACCTCCATCATGTTCTGCCCCCTTCCTGAAGCATGTTCCTAGCGATGCGTTTCCTCTGGTCGCGATTAAAGTCATGTTGGCAATCTACCTCTCCATCCTCGTGCCTTCGTTCTATCCCATCGGGCAACTCGTGTACTTCCACATCAAACTCTGTACAGTGTTTCTCTGCATGTACTTTCTCATCCATCCTCACTTCCGCCTAGATTTTCTCGACACCACCACCTACGACTACATCATCCACCAACGTCGCCGCCAATTGCACCCCGAGGTGCGTCCGTCTTATGGAATCATCATCACTCATTCGTTCACTTTAGGAAACGGGAGATGATCTCATCGCGGGTTGCCATGGTTGCCGCACTGCGCCGACGCAACCTGCTCCAATTCCCGCCCCTGTCGCCCCCAAGTACCACCTGTCCATTCATGCATGTACAGTTCTTTCACGTCCATGTGCGCGTAGGTCGACGTCGACGCCGATGCTGACAGGGTTTGGTCGCCCGTCTTCTGCGCATGTGCAAGATACGTCCTCGCATGAAACCAAGAGCCCCGTGAGTCCGTCGCAACGGGAAAACATGACTTACGAACCGATCGAGACACCCAACGGCCACACCAAGAAGAAGTCACAGCAGCAGCAGGCGTTCTTTGTATAATATAGATATCTATACTCATTCAACCGTGTGGGATTGCGACAACGACAAGCGGCCAGCATTGTCGTCGGAGGCGAGCACTACATGCACAGCCGACACCACGCCAGACACTTGGGGCTTGAATTGCGCTTGGTGGTTCGACTCGGGATGGTCGGCTTGCACAGAGTATACCGGCGCCACAGCCGTCCAAGTCCCCATGTTGTACTCGTGCTCGCCCAACGTCGCGCTGCTGTGGGGACCCACCGCGACGGTCTGTCGGATCAGCTCATTGCCATCCGCGACCTGGCCGTCGCTTCCGAAGAGTCCTGTCACGTGGATGGTGTGACCCGAGTCATTGCGCACCACGACTTGCTTGGCATACGAAGGAGGGCCGACCATGTTGGTGTTCTTCACGTTGGCGATGTCAAAAAATGAAAATCGAACGGGCTTGTTCTTCACGTGACCTCCTTGCTTTCAATACCTTGAATCATGAATAACCTTTATAATCATCATCTTATACAGGCAATCAATTGCTACATTCATATCCGTATCCGTATACATTATCCGGATTGTCTCTTTACACTTTGTGTGGCTCCATTCACCATGAAAGTGCCAGGGTGGGAGTACGTCCAGCGTGTGCCGCCGGCCTTCTTCTCGCTGGCGATTGTGCTTCTCTCGAGACAGATCATTGACCCACAGAACTCTGGTAGATGCCCTCTACATGCTTCTCCTGGATATGACCATATCAACCCTCATGCTTCGTGTGTGTAGTGCATGTGTGGATCGCGCGTGGGCTGTTCGCCGCCTCTCAATTGAGCTGCATCGCCGTCTTGGTGTATCTCTACTTCCAATCTCGCGTGCGTGTCCAACCATCTATAATATATGTACGATGCCTGAAGTGCTTTCACAGGAGAACAAGGACCCTGCGACGGTGATTGTGAAGGAAGATTTGGGATTCGGACAAGAAGGGGAGAAGACGGAGAAGATCACCATCGGCGAGCACGATCAACGCGCAGCGCTCAAGGACATCCAAAAGGTACATCGCAATCTACATTTTCCCAGCCCGTCTCTTGCTTGAGCTGCACAGGTGGCTCTCGGTCTGGCGGTGTCGTCGTTCATCCACGTCTACTGGGGTACGCACACATCGATCTCATACCCCTTGCACGTCCAGTTCTCTCATGGCATCTCCTTGCGTAGGCTTCATCCCTCCCCTCGTGATCGGTGTCTACAACGGCCCCCAAGCGCTCCTCCAAATGCCGCTGGTACAAACATCTTCACTTCGATGACGTTGCTGGAATCGATGAGAACTCACATCTCCTGTCATGCAGGTCCGCGTGCTGTTGCGCGGGGAACGGGCATGGGGCAAACTGCAACGTCCATGGGCGGAACCCATTGCTTCCTTCGGCAAGCGCTTTGAAGCATGGAACGATACCATCACGTCGGCGTTCACCACGGACAACAACGCCAAGCCCAAAAAGGAAAAGAAGGAAAAGAAGGAAAAAAAGCGCCGATAAATTTCTTTTTCCCTCAATAAGAAGAATACTAGAATTTGTATTGATCGGTAATAAAACATACAAAATTAAAAATGATCTTGGATATATTATTATTAATACTAGTATAAATACTGTTGGTGCCTTTCTATTTTTCCTACTTGGTCTTTGTATGGAATAATTTACTCCTTGTTTTTCAATGTTTACCGCGCGAAATCTTGTTTCGAACCGTCGCAGTTTCGAATATTCACGGTGATGGAGACTCGGACTGCGTACGTCGCCGCCAGTAGCGCGCTCTTCGCCGCGGCACTGTGTATACTTGGCATGTGCGGCGTCCGCCATGTTCGAAACCCGTGCATGCACATGCGACCGATGCAGACGCTGTTCGTGCGCCTCGACGTCGGTTTTGCCATCTACACCTTGCTCTTCTACCTCCGCGTCATCTTTGCCGAAAACCAAGTGTTTGAGCCCATCTCGCAGTGCCTGTTTTCGATTGTCGAAGGCATCACGATATTCTCGTTCTTCAACATGATGCTCCTCCTAGTGGGCGGCACCGCCGCGGCCGTGGGCTACATGAACCAAGACGACGACGAGTCCAACGAGAGCTGGTTGGTATCGCCGTACAAGCAGACACTGGATCGCTTTCGACGCCGACTCATTTCGTTCTTGTTCATCAAGCCCGTCTTGGCGGCGGTCGATGGATGGGCCGTGAACCGCCAAACTCGAAACCCCTTGACCGATGCGTACCGCGTCGTGCACAGTGCGATTGCCATCGCGATGATCGTTCTCACGGTGCTGACGTTTCTTGGTGTCCTCCAAACATACAAACAGCTCAAGGCGCACATCTCTGGCTCGTTCAAACTCACTGCGAAGTTCGTCGTGGTCAAGGGCATGCTCCTGCTGTCCACGTTGCAGTGGTCCGTCGCCAACACCGTCGTCCGCCACTGGACGCCCATCGACCTGTACCTTTACTCGACCGTCTGCGTCGGCGAAGCGCTGGTTTTGGCCGTCACGTACTTCTTTGTGTTTACAGCCCAAGAACCTGACGTGCCCCATCTCGACTCGGACGCGGCGCCATTTCGACTTGGGTCCGTCGCTGCAATATGGGACTTGTTCGAGTACCCCGTGGGAAAACACGTGACGTACACAGCCGCCTTGTAAATCAACAACTACCAACGATGAAAGACGATGAAAGGTATAATAATAGAAATCCAAATATTTTTTACAAGTAAATATTGCTACGAAGTACTTCGAGGTATATTGCATCATACGTAGGCATGCAAATATATTAACTCTAAGTACTACTACTTTGTAGCAGAATCTTGTTGTCGGCAGCGCACACAATTCAATAACCAACGTTAGCATTACTACATATAATATAGAAATATTATAGTAGTATTGATACTACTACTTTGTAGCAGAATCTTGTTGTCGGCAGCGCACACAATTCAATACCAACGTTAGCATTACTACATGTATTATAGAAATATTATAGAAGTATTGAATTGGATCAACAACAATCCCATCTATCAATTGTTTCGGTATTACTACAATTTATACTAAGTTATTAAAAGTGTAGTAGTTCATAAATTGTTGATTTTCTTCAAATTTCCACAAACCGCACCGAGACATGTGATTGGCTAATACTTGTTGTGTATTGTAGCCAATCAGCAGCAAGTATTGTCCGATTGACCAATCAAAGGAGAGATTGGTGCTCGGACGGGGTCCAGAAATTCGTACCGAATCTCCAATATTATTAATGATCAATCTTGTCCCCATAGAACCTTTAACTGGTCCTATACTAGTACTTCTATTCATACAAAGCAGAATGCTCAAAACCCGAGTGTTAACAAAACGTGACTCTATTCCGTGCTTGGTTTGTGAATCGGTCCTTTTGCCGGATACAACAACGCCATTATGGGCCCGAGTGCGGCGAACGACACTTGGGTTTTGGCGACCAGTGGTTGGTCACGTTTTGTGAATGGCGTGGCCCACGTCGGGACGTGGGCCGCC